TTACCATAAACTGGCTTGGATTAACATTTTTAGTTAGTTATATTTTAAATTATTATGAATAAAAAAAAGTATGCTTTGAATTAAATAAAGTGGGCATAGCCTTTGGTGTTCGATAATTGTTTGCTAAGTGTCTAGATAGTAGGACAAGGTCTTACATAAAACGTAGAGCCGACAATTAGGGCCAAACCTAACAGGCTAGTTCGAACCCGCTCGAAAAAATTTAGGACCGGACTTGGCTATATAGACTTTTTTAAGAGGTATGATACTTTAAGTCCAACCCAAATTGAGGCCAACTTGAATAAGCTTGATCCTTGAAATTTCTGGGTGTATGTATAAGTAGAGTAGGTAATTTTGACTAAGCCCGACGGGCCAAAAAAAGTTAGTGCCGAGCTTGGTTATATAAGTTTTTTAAGAAGATCGAATACTTTAAGCCCAGCCCGAATAAGCTTGGCCCACCTGAATTATTGACTCTAATAAAACAGTTGAAATTATCTTATTTTAAGGACTGAAGGGAGTATTAACTTTCATGAAATTGAACATGTAATGACAATATTTTTAATATGTTCATAATTTTTTAGATCACTATGAATGCGAACAATATGTTTTTTTAGCTTGACACATAGTATCTTTTAGGTGCCATTTGCTTACTATAACGAAATAGAATGGAATAAAAAAATAAAAATAAAAATAAAATGATTGAAAGGGATAGGTGAGCATATTTATAAAGGGAAGGGGTAATCTAGTCTAAGGGGTTGGAAATCATAATTGATGAGATTTTTGGAGGGTGTGATGATTTTTACATTTGTAAAGTATATTAATGAATTTTATTATGCTTATCATGGAGAAAAAGGTGATTTAGATCATTTTTATTAAGATTTTTTTCAATTCATTTCATTCCATTCCATTCTAGTAACTAAATAGGACTTTGCATTATACATTTTTACAATTAGAATGTTTAAAATTTGTTGGATGAATATAAAATTGGGCTAAGGTCACTTTTGTCATGAACTTTTTTTTGGCACCCTGACATATTCTAAATGTTTAACGTGTCCATAGACTCTAAGAAAAAAGTTTGAAAAATAAAAATAACCCTTGATCTTTGTAAAAAAAATTTAAAAAATATAAATGGTGGTATCCATAAGCTCTAAAGGTAAAGTTCAAGAGCAAAAGTAACCCTTAACCCTACAAAATTTATTACATTTTCTATTTGAGCAAGTATAAATTCAATATCATTTTGGCTACATTTTGAATTTTGACCGCCCAACAATAACATATAAATTGTAACGATATTATTCAAATATACTTTCTTTGATCCTATTAATGAGGAGAGAATGAAGACTTTTTTATCCTATTTATAAGTCACCTAATTAAAGAGAAAAAAATGTATTGTAAGAATATGTACATTTAAAAAAGACAAATTTAAGAAATTACTAAAATTTTAGACAGGCTTAATGATTTTAAAATTTTTATTAATTCTAATAAAATACATTAAAAATACTTTATAAACAAGACCAAAATGAGTAAATAGTAAAAGCTCCCAAAAACATAATAACTTGTTAATAGTCGGACCATTGAATAGGTTATAAAATGAATGAACTCATTATGGGTTCTGAGTGTCTATCCTATCATTATCATAAGAAAGTAACATGTCAATAAAAATAATATTTAATCAAGTTAATGAAATTTTCATTAGTCATTATCTTAATGCCAGTGAGTTATTATTTGATATTTATATAAATTCATTTTTCATTTTATGATATTTATGTAAATTCCTTTTTCATCTTAAAAATAAAAATTACTAGAACATTTGGGTAAATCGTGTCAGGGTAAAGGAAAAAATAATTAAAACGGACAGCTGGCTCAACTAGAAATATAGTGAACCAATGCCTAATCTGGTCGGAGACGGGGGTTGCGGGTAAGGACTAGGAAAGCCGTTTAAGGAATCGGTCATCCAGTGCAAACTGCAAAGTGATAAAATTAGCTAATTGATCGCAGCATTGGTCTGGGATACTTATTTTATTTCAGTTCTAACAAGCATAATTGTCAAAACTCTCTAATTGACTTTATAAATTTAACATATTTATATTTTCAACTTATAAAATCGTGTCAACTCACTCATAAACTCTAATTAGATATAAATTTGATTAAACTCACAAGTTTACCGTTTTTTACGTTTTTAATTTATAAAATCATGTTAACTAATTCATAAATTTAAACTTGATGTAAGTTTAATTAAACTTATTAAGCTTGTCAATCTTTTTTGAATTAAATGAATTAAGTATATACTATAAAAAATTCAGTTCATAAAAGTTACAAGACTTGATTCAAAAAAAGAATTTGAAATGCAAAAATTAATATTAATAAAAAAAATAAAAATACCAAAAGTCAGTTTCTCTATTTTAAAATTTTTATGTCTTATATATGATAATTTATCCAAGTAGATGGATTTAATTTAATAATTTATATTTTAATATATTTAAATTAAATTACAGTGATATTTTAATGGTTATTTGTTAATAAAGATAAACTTTTATAAATTATGATCTGAATTTGCGATTTGAGTTTAAATTTCTATCACGAATTTATTTAAACTCATAAATTTAAGAACCTTAAATTAACGAGTCATGTTGTTTTTTGTATTTTTAAAGAGTGAAAAAAAAATGTTGATATTGAAAATTGAAATCTAATCCGCCTTCCAACGCGAGGATCCCGGCAACATGTGCGAAACATGTGGATACAGAAAGTTAACTCTAATTCTAAGTATACTTAAAAATAATCTATTTTATCACGGTAGTTAATTAAGCCAATCAGTACAGCTGAGAATTTGCTCACTTTTGTTTATTTATCACGACACTGTCCTGTTGCGATGATGAGCAAGTCAAACAACTATTCGTTCCTAAAAGCTTGGATCCAGATGCAAGGAAAAAAAAAATCTGAGGAGACAATACTCAGACTAACTCGTGCGTTTTGGTCCAACTTTTCTTCAAGCATCTCCTCAAACTTGAATAATACTGCGAAGTGTAGACCTTCCATCTCGGAAAATACGCGGATTGGAATGTTGTCCACGCAAACCCAGGCTGGCCTTTACGATACAACACTCGAGTTGGGCCTGGTGTCATGTCCTGGATAAGCTAGCCCCAATTAGTTCGCCATTAGATGCTACCCCAACTCTGTCTTTGTGATACACAAATCGATGCTAGTTTATGTTTATCAATGCTAAATAACAAACCGGAACAGTCACACATGGGCATCTCTCACCATCAATCCCACACGCTCACTCCAATCACTATTACACCCAACCCACGGTTATGGTACTTGGTTTTCGGTCTCCCACGCCTCCAATTTTCATGACAAATATGCATTGCCGTTGTTTTGTAAATTATGTTTTCAGATTAAACGAAAAATTTATCCTTAAAACTTTTTCACCAAATGCAATTGGTATTCAGAAGTTTTAAAAAGTGCAATGTTTTTTTTTTTTATATTTTCAAAGGCAGTGCACTATGATCCACAATTAACAGATCCCAAACGTCGTTAACTTTGTGATTTTTTTACTTTTCTGTGCTTTGCTGGCAGCCATGTGGGATACACGTGTTATGGTTTTTTGACCTTCCCATCTTCAATTTGTTTACTCCTTCCTTCCTTTTTCCCCCTTCTTTCACGATTATCAATTCGTCATTCTCCTCTACTTGCTATCAGACAAACAAACCAAAAATGCACTGACAAAATCCACCTATCGAACAAAAGAACCCGGGCGGAAAAGAACAAGTGAACAAACAAAATCGAACCAGAAATCAAAATATATAGGTCATCATCGCCGTTCTTGCAATCAAACCAAAAACCAGAAATCGAAATCAAACCATAAAATAGAAATCAAAATCAAATTGAAAACTAGTAGACCATGAAATCAAACCCATTGATGCTCCAAGCTTTCAGATCAAAGCCATAAACCAAATTGCTTCCCAGAAGCCAAAACCCGAAGGGGCAGATGAAGCTCAAGGATCCCCAACCTATAAACCAAATCAAACCCAAAAATCAGATCAATCCCCCTCACTCTCTGGTTCCTCCCGAATTCAGATTTTGCGTGGCCGTTTTGACCTCACACTTTTGCCTTCAATTCTTGATATCCTATTACAAAGCCATGGTGAACTGTGTTTGGATTTTCAGAGTCTTCTGTACTTGAGTAATTCGTGGGATTTTGAGCTTTTGGATAGAGTCGGTAATTTGAACAGATTGAACTTATTTAAATCGAGCTTAAAATATTATATTATCTAAACAGAGTCCATATAATCAAACCTAACTCTAATTTTTTTTTAGTTGGGTTCAGCTGACCCATCAAACCGATCAAGATGACCAACCATACATACATAGAGTCGATAATTTCAGCTACCAAACTCATTGAAATTAAATTTAAAATATCCTACCTTTCTAAAAAAACATAACTAAGGAATTGAAGAAAGATAAAGGGAGCTTCCCCCCGCCCCCTTTTTTTTTTATTTTTTGAAAACATGCAAGGCTGCCAACAATACATAGCTTAAGTGGACATAACCGCCTAAATTTAGTGAAATTAACTAATGGTCAAACATTTACATGTGTTAAAATTAAATGATATTACACTGTTTTTAAAATATTAGACAGAATATTACATTTTTTTTAAACTTTTGAATGCCAATTGCACCTAGCAAAAATTCAGGGACATATTTACTCTTTGACCCTGATGTTTCTGCAGGAATGAACAATCAAATTCCGTAAGCTAACCTAACCCGTACGTTTATGGTTCGGCGCGGAAACTAAGAGAGACGGGCGGATAACAATGTTTTACCTATACGCATATAAAGGCCAGTTTCCTGTGCGTATAAATGTCGGTCACGTTTATTTATTTTCTATTTTTTCTACTCCTTTTAATCTTAATGCCTACCATTATTTAGATGGCATCAGCCAGTCACCTGTGGAAGAAGTTCCGGTCCCACTAACAAACAAAGATTTTCCCATTGGACCCTCCATTTCCTCAACGGAAACTCTGGTCATTATTCTTTCAAATTAATACATACAAAAACGGTTGCGTCGCTCCTGTCTGTCCAACAACTGTGGTCCTCCCGTTTCCTAAGTTTCCAGGCTTTGTTCGTCTATTCTTCAGTTCGTCATTGTAACTATTACTTTTGCCAAACCAAAAATATGATGATAATATTGCCAATACCCTTTTCCCTCCACGGACAAATTCACGTTTTCCCCTCCATTTTTCCTAGTTTGAAAATGAAATCCATGGCTTGACAAATTCACATCAAGCCATTGTCTTTTTTTGTGTGTATTGATTCCCATTCACAAATTGCGCTATTCGATTAATGTCGTTCTCTTCCGAAACCTCGTTGTGTCCTCCTGTACATTACCGAAATTTTTATTGCTTTTTTTCTTTTTTCGGTGTGATTAAAAAAAGGAATTAAACTTTGAAATAAAAGAAACACAAAGATCGTTTCCGGTTTGGTTGCTGTCTCTCTCTCCACTCCGATCCATGCTGAGCTAGCTGAGCCAGAACCAGCAGCATCCTTCTTTACTCGGCCCTGCCCATTCCAATGCTCTTCACCACAGCGTTTCTAATGGCTTCCGTCTGTATACAAGGACCATTCGGCTCTATTCCAGACATGTAATTCTTCACCTCCTTCTTTATCATCTCTTGCATCGCCGCCAAAAACTCGGCGCTGAAGAATTGTTTCTCCCAACCAAACTGAACACATCTCTGGCTCTGACTGGTGGGAGCTGGAAAACGCACTTGCTGTATTGATGCTCCTACAGATAGTACGGTAGGTGCTGGCGATGGTGGACTTGGTGGTAACTGGGTCGAGCTGATAGGCTGATTTGATCCGGATCCATGGTTGGAGACCTCGTGCGAATTGGATCCAGGCAGCGATAGGCATAGTGATGTAGGTGGATCGGGGGCGGAAGGGGCGGTTTCTGGTTGTTGGACGCAGGGGACGGGGGCAACGTTCCTCGCAAAGGGTCTGCAAACCCGCGTGGGAGACATAGCGGGCAAACTGGTATCGCTCAAATCGGATCCGGAGGGGCTACTCGGGCTCAAGTAAAATCCGGAGACGGATGGGGCGGCACCGACACTGGCAGATCTTTTGAGAGGTTGGTGGTCATTGGATTCGGGATTGAAAGGATCGGAGATGGCGGAGCATTTCCTCTTGAGAGTGGAATTCCAGTGGTTTTTGATGGCGTTGTCGGTGCGACCGTGGAGCAAGCGAGCGATTGTGGCCCACTTGTTGCCGAACCTGGCGTGCGCTCTCATGATAGTATCGTCCTCCTCGGGCGTGAAAGGCCGGTGCTCGACGTTGGGAGAGAGCTGATTGCACCACCGCAAACGGCAGGACTTGCCGGATCGACCGGGAATGGACTTGCTGATTAGAGACCAGTTTCTAGGACCGTAACTCTGAACGAGTCTCTGCAAGGCTTCATCTTCCTCGGGACTCCACGGGCCTTTAATACGATCAACGTCTTTCTTGAGGGAAGCCATGGAAATGAAAAGCAGGATGGGAGGCAACACCACTGCTCAATGGCTCTCCAGCTGGGCTTGGTGATATCTAAAATACCGAAACGGGGAGGGAAAAACAAAGAAGAAAATGAATAATTAGTTTACGGGGCATGAAAACGGGATCAAAAATCATAAGATTAAGCAAGAGAAGGATAGTCGAAACTCGAACAGAGAAAGGAGATAATTTATATAGGAAGGGGATAGGGATGACTGGTTGAACCGGTTGGGGTGAGGAGTGACGAGGATTGCTCAAGGCAAGTCAGTTAATATAGGATACAGCTGTCACGATGACACGCGTCAAACTGGAGTCTGTGAGAGCTACACGTATGGTCACACTCTCGGCGCCCATTAATAAGTGGTTGTTCTTCTTCCTTCTCTCCCCCGTTCATCAAAATATCTCTTTTCTTCCCGATCACGCTTTTCGTCCTTCCCCCTGTTTTCTTTTTCTTTTTTGTTTTCTCGGCTATTCATATCAAGCACTTTTTTATTTTTCAATTTATTGCCAACTAACTTATTTGAGGTCGTTTCCTATTTCACTTTTGTTCGTCTTTTTTTTTAAGAAAAAAAATTCTCATCTGCAGACTGCAGTCGACCCTAAGTAAAAATTCCCAATATTATAAAATGAATTATTGCTTATTCAACGACATCTTTCAAAATATTTCAAAACATTCATGTTATTTACTTAAATGATCGTATTATATAGTTATGAATCTGAGATACTTGAATTATTTATTATGCAAAAAAAAAAAAGGCCGGTGTGCTTTAGTTGTTAAATTTTGAGAAAATCACTCTTAATCCTATACAAGCAATTTAAATCATGAATGTTTCATAAAATTATAAAATTACCCTAAAATCCTATACTCCATTAAAAAATATAAGATATTTTTATAAGATTAAATAATTAAAAATATAAAATATTTTTAATATTTTAAGATGTAATTCATATTTATCTTTTTCAAAAATGTTCATGCTAAATAAATTATTTTACATTTATTTTAAATTAAAATATTCTGTTAAGGATGAATGAATATAAAAAGATGATATTATTTAAAAAATAAATAATTATTTTATGAATAAAATTTGATTAAAAATATCTGATTAAATAGAGTATTTTTTTTGTTGAAGTAGTTGTCCGTTGCTGAGCGATGAATAACAATTATTTAGCAGTGATATACAATTTCAGTGAAGAAGATAGAATTTTAAAACAATTGTATCATTTCATGTAATTTTTTGTATTTAAATTATTTATGTAAAATCTGGGAGTGATTTTTCTCTGGACTTTGTCCCTCGTTGAAGCCCAAAATTGGGTCGGCATTCTTGTTGCTTCTCGTTAAATAAAAAATAAACAATGTTAATATTTAGCATTTAAAAATAAAATGGTAGTATATGTTATTATGGATATGGTGAGAACCTGAGGGCGTGAGTAACAGGGGCACAGTGGATGGGTGCAGGGCATAACTTTTGACCCAAACAGCCTGGACAGCATTTTATAGTGACTGGGGAGGAAGCAACCCCCATCGGAAAGAAACAAAATTCGATTGGTTTCATTTTCAAGATAAAAAAATGAAGGAGGCAATGAACCGGGAAGGAAAACGACAAGTTTTGAGGGGGAGATGGTACTGGTGTACTCTAATGTCAGTCCAGCCTGTCAACCCAATAAAAAGTCGAATTCCGACTCAACTTCTAACGGCCTTACTCACCTCGTACTGCCACGTGTCAGTCATCATTGAAATCCCGCCACCTCCACCGGTCCTCTTGCACTATTCCCCACACTAACCGAACCAGGATTATTATTCTATGGCAATCAATCACAGGGAGAAGAATCGAAGATATCGAAAGCAACACCACTAAATCTTGGTTAGATCGTATGGAAAGAAATGTGTCCCCATTTTGATCCTTCACCCCAACAAATTACTTTATTATTGGCCCGGCCCTCCACACATGCACTCCACTGCAATTACTGCCACATCCCATCCCCTTACAAAAGTTATAAACATTTCAACCTTTGATACTTCTGTTATTCTTATCCTATTCTCTTTCTTTCTCGTTACTTGAACTCGAAATTCACGATGAACTTATTGAATTAATGGACTGTATATTTTAGAATACCAATAAAAGAGAGCTCTCTAAAGCACTTTTCTTTTGAAATCCATTTTTGCATGATCCATCAAATATCGATTTTTTTATTTAGTATATAAATTCGACACGAGAAAAGTTTATAATTGAAAAAACATCGTGTAGTTAGTTAATTTTTTATACTTTTTTTTTTATCGAACTCAAAATGCATGCATCTTTCTTTTTCGCCGGTTCAATGCTGGTGCCGAATGCATGCATCCCAACCTGTACGGATGTCGTCCTGTCTCGTCCCTGAAATGAAAACCCCTCACGTGTGCGTGTCACGTGATTATCCTTCCGTACCATTTTGAATCCAACCGACCGGATATTTCCATATCTATTTTAAATTATTCTCCCAAAAACAGCACTAAAATAACCTCCTCTTCTTCTTCTTTGTTTGGTAGAAAAATAACCGCTTCTTCTTAATGAAATAAAAATAGGTTAAAAAAAAAAAAAAAGAGGAACGCTGAATTTGAGGGCATTCTTCGAAAGCAGGAAAACATGGAAAGAAGACAAATAATTGAGACCCCGGAGCGCTGGATTGCTTTTCTGAAAGTTGCAACTTGCAAGCTGTATATTGCTTTGTATTTCAAGATGTGCGACTACTAAATATGGATAAGAAAACACGCACCCAAAAGCATTAGACATAGATCTAACAAATCTTAAAAGGCATGGAATTGGCTTTAAAGACGAAGATCAAACAAAGGAAGGTTTTGAAAACGAGAAGTAATACTTCTCTACCTCATTCTGTAACATATTTCCTAGTAAAATTGTTAATTTTAACGAGACTAATTAAATACAATTTAAAACTCACTCTCACAAAAAAAAATAAACATTCAAAAATATTATTCATTCGGTAAAACAGAGATAGAAAGGAAGATGTCTAAAAAGTGAAGCGGTATAAGATAATTTAAAAATAAATTTTATCGATGAAACGTTATTTTTAAAAAATAGTTTTTTTGACATGACACTAAATCATTTGGAAAAAAAATATTTCATATAATGTGCACGGAGGAGAACAAAGTTTCAGAAATTTTACTATTTCCATTAAAAAAATCAGTAATTTAAAAAAATGTAATTTAAAACGGATGTTAAGATGGAATAAAATTTTAATTAAAATTAAATTAAATTAAAAAGATAATATATGAAATTCTTAAATAAAAATAAATAAATTTTGAGAGCGAAGGGAAGAGGGATGGGGGTGTTTGTGGAGATAAAAGGAAAAGAAAAAAGAAATGATAATAGGGGTTGGGGGAGTACAAGTTGCTACGGAAGGGGAAACGAGGAGATCGAAAGCGGAAGGAATAAAGAGACATGATTGTGTTTGGGCCGTGACAGTCACATGATGTGGTAACCACAGACTATACTTCCTAAGCACAACCAAAAGCAGCTTTGCATTAAATTAAATTAAGACCAAAGTGCCAGCGCTCTCGTCTATCTTGTCAGGTCCCTCCTCCTAGCCGCGCCTCCCACTCTCCTTCACTAGCCTCCCCTACCCAAAACCTGTACCCGCATAGGCCTCCCCTGTGATGCTAGTACTGCTATTTTATTATTCACTTTGCACTTACCGGTTCCTTCCAATTCAGCCTAATTTCGGGTGGATTCTGCCCCAAAAAAAAAAAAAAAGTGTTTCTTTTAAGCTGATTTATTCACAAATCAAATTCTATAAAACCTAAAATTACACTATACCTCCTTATTTTTATATACATAAAAAATTATATCATACAATTTAAAAAAATTAATTAATTAAAATAATTATATTTAAAAATAATTAAATTAAAATGTTTTATCAATATAAACATATATTATTTATTTTTTATTAATATAAATTATGAGAGATAATTTAAAAAATATATAATAAATATTTATTAAAATATGTAAGTTTTTTATTAAAAAATACGTGTAGAAAGTAATTGTTTCCCTAATAATAAAAAGCGGAGGGAGTAAAATCAAATGACTTAGTTGAAATAATTTTTTGAAATAAATGATCAAAATGTCTTTCAACTACGCGTAATTGTGTAATTTTACTTGCTAATTTTTAACATAATTTGTTAATTACTAATTTTATTTATTAAATATGTGATTGTTTCAATTGAATTACATTATTTTTTAATTGCGTAACTTTTTTTGTATAGATTTTAACAAGATTTATTAATTGCTTAATTTTACTATTTAAATTTGTGACTCTCTTAATTGAATTATATAACTCAACTTGTTAATCTTGTATAAAAAATAAGGACATTTTGGCCATTTTATATAAAAAGTAGTTTTAATAAAAAAATTTGGACCTACAGTGTAATTTCAACTTTTATCGGACCTGATTTGTTTAAAAATTACACCCTTAATCCTTAAATGAAATTACACACACACATATATATAAAGGTGAGATGGTGAGTCTTGCTCATTTTATTAACCAACCATTCGAGAGCCCAAACTATTAACCATTACATTTTAAAGTAATTTCTAACTTTCAAAAAACATATCTTTCATCAATTTCAATTTTAGCAATGCATGTTTTTTCTAAAAATATCTATATTTTCTAAGAATAACAGATTAGTTTTAATTAAAGCACGTAAATTTGGGTAAACCCATACAGTTAAACCAATAAACTAGTATATTGGTTGGTTTAATAAAATATTCTGTTCATATGACCAATTTCATCACAGTTTAACTATAATTTTAATCATTAATTATGAATTAGCATCTTAATAGTTTCAATTTTCAATACATTGGTGTCGTTATATCATTTTTCTTCAATTTATTAACTCCTTCCTCTCATAACTCTCCTCCCTCACCCCTCGGCTACCGTCAAGAGAAGATATTTGTATAGAAATTTTGGCCAACTCGAATACAAACAACCTTGGCTTATGAATGGCTTATTGTCTTGGTGATAATATCACTTTTCTCTTTCAAAGAAGTATTAGGTTCGAACTTAACATTGAAATATTTATGTACATGCCTGGATGTGAATGTGGATGTCTTCCCCCTATTTTATGGGGAATGACTAAAGTAAAAGTAAAAAAAAAAAAACTGACCCCCATTTTTTTAACTTATTCAAGATAGCCCCCAAAATCCAATTAGAAGGGTGAGGG